AAAGAATTCCAAGACAAAAGCTATAGCTCAAAACACTAAATCATACAAATGTAGCTATTTACTGTTGAAAGAGTATTAATCTGAAATGACCAACTACAACAAAAGAAACATAAGGGCAGAGCTCAAATTGAATAACTATGAAACTTTTACAACAAAACACAGATCATTTACAAGAGGAACACCCTCCCAATAATCGAAAATTCAGCACCATATTGGAACTAAAAGCAAAACCCAAAAATCAAAAGTACTTCATAACGAGACATGAAATGTTCATCCAACAATTGAATAATATAGTAAATTTGGCTTACACCCTTCAAATTCAACTTACTTTACCTCCAACCCTTCACTTTTTGTTCCTATAAATAATACCCAATTTTTATAAGTAAAAACCCATAACTAGGATCCAACTCATCAAGTTACCTTATTAAGCTCAATATCTAATTTATTATAATTTTTTGATTGCCAAAATACCCCTATTTACTTTACAATGTGTAATGGGGTGATGTTTTAATTTTTGGTTCCCCAATTTATTGTGGTGATTCCCTCTAAAAATTTTGTCTACAATTAATTATCCATTTTATTATTAAAATTCATTAATGTAGTCAACAATTTGTTGGCCAAAAAAGTCTGTTTTCCTTATTGCCTTTTTGAAATTTTGTTCCATCTTTCCCAAATAATAATTACCTATTTTAGAACTTGAATTTCATTTATTGTACCTAGTTTTTTCATGGATAATAATCTACCTATTATTTTTTATTGTACCTATTTTTTTCATAGATAATAATTAACCTATTATCTTTTATGAGTAATAATTTATCTATTATTTTATCCTATGAGTCATATGATGTAATATATGTAGGCATGAAAATGTTAACGTACATAATATCATCTAATTAACATACTTTTTTTTCTATGGCATTGTACCTATTAGAATATATATTATATAGATCTATATAATTGAAGAATATTAGGTAAATATATATAATTGGAGGGTGTAGGTATAAAAAAAATTCATTTATCCGACCTGTAGGAGGTTAAGAGGGAGTATTTGAACTAATTTGATGGTAAGCCATTATTACATGAGTGCAAAAATAAATGTGCAGTGAGAGGTATTATTCATTTGCATAAAATTAGAGGATGAAAAACAGTCAGCCACCAAATAAAGATCTAGTGGCATGATTTGTAAATAAATCAACTTACATGGACACATTGTCATCCAATTTTAAAATTAGTTTTTACTTAAACGTTGTATTATTGGTGGGTTATCGTTTATGGTATTTGAGTTACAAGGACCTATTTTAGCATGATAAAGAAAAAGCCGACATTTTTGTATCTTGATGGTTGTTACCAAAATAAATAAATAAAATTTTCGCAATTTTTGATTTCGATAATTTCGGTATCGTTAACTCTAGGTTTGGTAATTTACGGTAATTTTGGGTTTTCGGTATATTTGGATAAATTCAATTTCCAATACTTGTTGATTTGCTTTTGGTTATTTTCTATTAGTTTAGTTTTTGTTTATAGCCATTAATTCACTAACATTACGAGCAAGGCCTAAAATATCGAGGCTTTCAAAAATATCAGGGGTCCAAAAACACAAAAATATTGATGGAAATTATCGATATTAGTAAAATTTGAATAAAAATCATTGAAATTGTAAGAAAAACTTGAAAATTTTGATTGAAACTTTAGAGGATATTTATTTAGTCAATTATCTATTATTTTATCACCAAAAAAAATTACATTGCATGGTAGGTTTGATTGATTTAAGTTAATTATATAGTGAGTTGACAAAGACTATGAGTGTAGAAAATATGTAGTAATTAATGAAAGAAAATTAAACACACCACAATCATTTATTTATAATGATTTACTACAATATTTTACATTTTATACATTGCATGGTAAAATACATGAGTGACTTAGTACCACATAGAGTTCCTATGAGGATCAAATTTGTCATTGTCTTCACCATCTCTATGTGTAGGTTACATGTACTGTGAAGAGTAGTCATCAAATGATAAATCCCAAAATAGTTTTGTATGTAATTGTTAACATGTCACCCATATGGATCCGAGATAGGTTAACATTGCCCATAAGAAAAATCATTTGAAGATTGGGTCTCACATTCTTTCTATGAGCCGCTCGATTCCATCCTAAAAGGCATGAGATAAGAAGGGTAGGGAAAAGGTTGGAGGAAAAATAGAAGTGGAAGGAGTTTGAATCCGCATGTGCACGTGCATAAGCCTTTCATTATTTTTTTCTATTCCACGTCGATATCGTGATATTATTGATATTATCGATATTATCGTGATAAACCAAATGCTCATGCATGAGAGAGGAATCGAGGAGAGGATATGACGCCGCCGATGAGAAGGAGAAGCGTGTGTGGAAGGAATTAAAATCATACAGAGAATGAGAAAAGAGGAGGCAGAGTGGCTCTGTTGAGAGAGAGATGTAAGTGTTGAAGAATACACACATTCTCATATAGAAAACTTAACAAAATAGAGAGTCTTATATAATGAATAGGTTCACTCCTAATAATATAGAGGCCTTTTGTACAAAATCCCACACCTGCTAAATAGATGGTTAAGTTGTGGACAATATCGATGTTGCTAGTAGTGGGCCAAGGATCCGTCCCTCTGAAATGTTAACTCTAAGGAGATAGAAGAAGGAGAATAAGGAGCCTGCCGGTAATCAACAATCAACGATGTGGATTATCTCACATGACCCAACTACTCATCCAATGATCAGAGTAGGTGGCGCAGCCATGAACTAGGCACAGTGTAGAATTTCTCTTTCATTATGTTCTCTTTCCATTTTTCTCTTTTTCCTCTCCCTTATCTTAGGGGCCACATTAAAATTATTGAGAGGAAAGTACTTGTAGCGTTCCAAAAACAAATTAGAAAATATTAAGGTGTCATATAAAAATACTAAATCAATTTATAAATCGAACTTTGTACACAAGGTCTTGGTCAGTCAATGAATAATACTAACAATTAGTCTACCAAAAAAGCAGGACGCATTATTGTCCTCTGTATTCCATCGACTTTTCTAAAAGAACACAACTTTTCTAAAAGATTTTTGGCTCTGCTGTGAATACCAAAAAGCAATTTCTAAAAAAGCATTTACTTGTTTTTTTTTTCTTTCCCTTTTTATACACAAATCACAAGCTTGACAACACCAAAATATATATATATATATATATATATTCTTCACACGATATCAACAATCATTCTCCTAAAAAACTCTTTAGAGCTAAATATTTTTCTTCCTACAAAAAAAAAGAGCTTTTCTAAAAAGTAAAGTGAACCCAAGCATTTATTTTATGCAATGTGCCAGCTGTAGCAAGATTCCTAACAAATACAGGCTCTTCAGGCTCTTCCCTTGTAGTGGACTCTTGAAGGAGGTCGTTCATAATAGCAAGGTAGGTTCAACTCAGTACTATCACTTGAAACTTAAACTTCTGTCTCTGCAATCTGTTTTATATCCCTCTTGTGCTCAGCCTTTGCATGGTTTCTGTAACTTTACTTGCATCACTTACTATTTCTCAACTGTCCATATCCTATCACTCAATTTACTCCCTCAGCTGATATCTATTTTTGAATTTTGTAGGATTATAGTACAACTGAAAATAAATAGCAAAATCGTAATATATTATACCGAACTTGGCTACAACGTTTTATTTTGCCTTGTTAAGGAGAGGGTCATAGTTTATTATTGTTAAATTTTAATTTATTTTTGTAGACTAGGTTACTTGCAGTTCACCCCTTCATCCATTTTCTATCAGTTCTGTTTTGACCGACGTTTGGTTATGAAACCCTTTTACTTATCATCTTCAGTTTTCTATATATTTTGCAGGACCAACGAAACGACATCGTGGTGCTCCAAATATTTCTTCGACTCTTGTAGTTATGAAACCAGATGAGAGCTTTGTGAATCCTGACGAGAGCTTTGTGAATCCTGACAGTTTTATCCAAAGGTTTAGTTTCTTTGGATTTGTGTTCTTTTTATTTCATTTTGCTTTATTTTTTAATTTTATGTTATGAGATTTTTTTTTTCTTGATCCATCTTATTTTAATGCAATTATTATAATTTTTACTAATCAATATTAAATTACTCTACTTTATGGGAAGGGTGATTCGAACTTAGAAGCAAGGGACCGAGAATAGTGCCCCGTAACACCCCTATTTTCCTTTACATTAAACAAAAAAGTTAAGATAAAAAAAGGTAAACCAGTAATTAAGAATCATTACAAAATTTGAACTTTTTGTAATTAATGTGGAAAGAGAAGTGCCACAATATCAAAATTTAATTGGTATATATAAAACTACAGATTTTCTTATGCGAATGTCTAGATGTTATTACCGTGTAGTTGCCATGTATTTTTTACTACCATTCTAACTTTCCTTCTTGTTTACAATGACGTCTACACCGTAATAACGTGCTGACGCCCCAATGAGAGAACTTTATATATATACATTACTATATAATGCTTTTGTTATTCACTTAACAAAGTTTCGATTAGACTCAGCTAGTTGGTATTTGTATTATACCCTTTTTTTTTTTTAAAAGGCCTTTAAGAGAAGCCTCTTTGTTAATCACTTTTAATAGAGTTTCATACAAAAAGATAATATATGAGATAAAATAGTAATCAACAACTGCTGGGGAAAAATAAAATCCTCACACATATTTATCTTCCACTTATCTCTCGACTTCACTTGCATATAATATGGCTAGTATGCGTGAAATTTTTAATAATCATAATTGCTCCCTTACCATTGTTCTGAGAAATGTAACATTAGCCCAACTTCCCAAGGCCCAAATTATATCATGCGAGGAGTTTGTTCCCTAAAGTTATCCATGTTTAGTTTGTCTTTATTTTACATTCTAATGGCTGCATTATATGCATTTATATCAGCACTGGGAAGAGGCCTCCCACAAAAGGTGAAAGAAATTCAGCAAGTACAAAATGGCCAACAGCAAAGGAAATTTTTGACCCACAGGGGCCTTTCCTTCCATTATGGAACAAGATATTTGTAATTGCATGCGTGATTGCAGTCTCATTGGATCCTTTGTTCTTTTACATCCCAAACATCAATGAGAAATACAAGTGCCTTGGTAAGGACAAGAAGTTGAGGACTGCAGCTCTTCTTCTGCGATCGCTCATGGACCTCACTTTCGTAATCCATATGGTACATCAGATTCGTGTCACGGCAAAAATCGTGGCCTCAGAGCAGGTATCAAGAAGAGGAAAGTCAGCTTGGTTATGCAGAAGAAGAGAGTTGGTTAAGGCAATGCCCTGGTTTTCCATCCTAATTGACTTTCTTGCTGCTCTTCCAATCCCACAAGTAAGAGAAAGACTAAATTATTATATATATATATATATATATGTAAATTAATTGATTGGTTGTTGCTTAACACAAAAAAAAATGATCTTAGTCCAGTCCATTGTAATTATTTCTGTCATGCAGTTAGCAATAGGAGTTGTCTTTTTCAGAAGGAAAAGCTCTGAGTATTTTCGCAAAAGGAGGATTATGACCTTCCTTCTTCTCTTCCAATATTTGCCAAGGGTTTATCGAATATACCTAACGTATGAGGAACTTACGAAGATCAAAAGATGGGTTAGAGGTGCATTCAATTTTTTTTTATACATCCTCGCTAGTCATGTAAGTTTCGTCTCCCTCATCATAACTCATTTATTTCATGCTTTTTTGCCTTTGATGGAGTTGGATTATTTTTCTCCATTCAGTTTTCTCATGTCATTCACTAATTTGCTTGTTTGATTAGGTACTTGGAGGTTTTTGGTACTTCTTTTCGATCCAACGAGAGACATCATGTTGGCATCATGCTTGTAAAAGAAGTACTGAAATTTTTTGTGTAGCTAATTATCACTTTCATTGCGATGATGATAGTCTGGGAGACGACATTACCACTTCAAGTAAAGTCAAATTCCTAAATAAATTTTGTCCATTAGATCCACCAGATCCCTCAATATTTGATTTTGGAATATTTGTTGATGCCCTTAAGTCGGGGTCAACACCTTTTATGCAAAAGTTCTTTCACTCTTATTGGTGGGGCCTGCGAAATCTCAGGTTGGCATTATACAAATCAATCACAATGAACAAATTTTCAGTTATTCCGCAGTGATTTTATTCAGTTTTGTTCAACATAAAGAAACACCAACTATGCTCATTACAAGATTTTTTATTCAACATAAAGAAACACCAACTATGCTCATTACAAGATTTTTCTTTTTTATAAAAGACATTCTAGCCTTTCTATACAGGCTATGAGAATTAGGGCTTTTCATTCCTCATGCATTTTGATTAAGATGAATAGTTGGAGCTTGAGATAGGAGAAATATTTCCCACCCGTTGCATTGTCTCATTTTCTCTTCTATTTTGATAAGTTATATGAGGAGAGAGATAGAAACGAGGTAATGAAACGGAAATGGAGAAATTTTACTTGTGAAATAGGGACAAATAGTATAAAACAATAAGCGAATAGCGAGTGCGTGAAATAGGTTATTTTGTTTTTACTAGTTTACCCTCATATGACAAATAGTGCTCTCTTTTCTCATTATATGCTGTATATATTGCCATTGAATATAGTGTCTGACACATTTTTTTTTACTCTTTAATTAATTGTTCTCGTTGCAGTAACTTTGGGACGAATTTAGAAACAAGTAGTTACGTGTGGGAAAACTGCTTTGCAATTCTAATTTCTGTTATTGGCTTGCTACTCTTTTTGTATCTCATCGGAAATGTACAGGTTGGGAAACAATAATCTTCCTTCCTAGATCTATTATTAATTGGTTTATTTATTTAATTTTATTTAATAAATTATAATTTAAAGCCTAAGTCTCAAATTGTAATATAAGCTTGTTTGTGGTGGAACAGACATATATACAGTTGGCAACTACAAAATCAGAGAACATATGCCAGAAGATGGCGATGAAAGACCTAGAGATCCAATTGTGGATGTCTAGAAATGGTCTTCCAGAGGATATGAAGACAGTGATTATGAAAAATGTCAAACAAAGACTGGAACAAGACAAAGATGCTGATGTAGAGAATATGTTCTCTATTCTCTCACAGAATAACAGGAAATCTATAAAGCGTTATCT